ACCTATGCATCTATAGCATTTATTATAGCTATCAAATAACAAATGGTTTGGGAAATCCCCGAGTGCTTTGTCTGTGCCACGAAGTAATTCGTAGTCTTAGTGGGAGGGTAGTTGTCGGTCAAAACTGAATAGCTGTAAATCAGTCCTGCTATACTTCGTAGCATAATCAATTATTTTATCTCAATGAGTTTGATCATCATGATCAGGGTTTGTCGACGTTATACTCGAGAGCCAAGTCAAACAGGAAAATTTCACCAGAGGCAGGTGAAGCACGCATAGATACAGAGTAGAGAAATGAATTTATTGAATGCAATTACACTACCTATACATGCAAATATACTGTGTTCGTAATTTATAAGACTGTTGCGACCACGCTACATCAGGCCGTTCATGGTCGCAGTGAATACGGATAAAGGACATCCTCCTAAAATGTCATCGAGAATGCTAAACCATCCAGTAAAATGTAGGGTCTCTGAAGCCATACCAAGATTCCGTTTTGACGATATGGTCGAACGTTAAGCGATCTGCACAGTCGAAGCAATGCCACCAGCATCCTTCGTTTCTAATCTACCCGCTGCTACAAAGGGTCAACGTCGTCCCCGTTATACGTTTGATGGAACGGCGGGTACAGTTTTGGCTTTAACAAGTGAGTAATGAACCCTCATCTGAAAACTCGTAGGAGTTTGAGATTCCACTCTGGCAAGAATGCTCAGGTGTCATAGCCACGTAAACCTGGCACACCCTCAGGTTTTATCTTCCTTGAAGAAGAGGCAGGATGGTACTTCGCGGCGCGCTACCCACTAAGTCGGAACTACTGGCGTTGCAGTGAATAGAACTTTTAGTCGGTAGAATTGAAGCTGTCACATGGAGTCAAAAGGAGTTGTAGCGAGCTAAACTTTAGGTGATGGGTTGGCATCTTGACGTCCGCATCATGCTTTGTACTTTGCTAAGTCAAGCTCGAGACGGCGTGCTAGGCGACCTTTCTCTTCGCTGGCAAAGTCTTAAATCGGATGGGGTAGCGTACTTTTCTCACCCAGTGCGCGAACTGAGCCTGATCTTTAGCAGCGCTTTCGCCGGCTTCTGATACCCGAGATATATCCTTTTTGGAGAAAACGAGTGTCCCATACTGCTGCTGCTCCAAGTGCAGACGTAACATCCAGGAAGTGGCTATCTGTTTTATGCTTAAGCGCTCGCGGAGCGACTGGATGATAGTGGAAGATCCACATGCAAAGGCGTTACAAGCTCCGCACCAGCGCAACGAGCGATCCCAAAAGAATCAAGCGCAATAACGGTGAGATTGAGGGGGGGGTCCGCTTAGTAGAGCAAGCTAAGGTTCTTGAGCAGGCTTCAGCTCGTGACCAACGAGCCAGACATCGTTGCAGGGCCTCGGCGTGGTGTAGAAACATTTAGCGTCGATTGAAAAGGGCACGGAGTCTGAGACTCATGCAGTGGAAGGCTGAGTGCAGTGAACACAAGCTTTTGTAAGGAACGGCTAGGATATGAGGGTGTATGTGTATGTTTGGGATTTGAAGAGTCGTTAAATTGTCTCCCATTGGATAACATTTCGGCACCCTTACCGAGATTTTTCTAAAGTGCATCGATCGCGTGGACCGCATTCCTGGCGGCGGCGTGTTGGATCCTTGATTTGGTGTACGGGAGCAGATTCCCTTGCAAGTACGCTCAGACGGGCAGCACGGTAAAGTATGAAGAACGAATTAGGATCTAAGATCAATGGCTTCTTGTGACGTAGTCACTCTTACTCAGTTTTTAGAAGGACAAAAATAGTCTCAGCATGGTTCGCAATTAGGGTAAAGCGGCGAGTACTGTGTTTTTTTGTGCTTATCCATTTAACACTTTGTATTGTACAGATTTACAACTGTACGACATTCATACGTATCAATATGTACCTGAATATCGGTATGAGTGAACAGCACTCAATATACCAATACATTTTCCGATAAGAGTCCGAACTCAAGCCCAAAATACTCGAAATTTTTCAACAACAGAATATCTCAGTGACAACGCGATAATAACAATTTGGGTGTTCGAAACGCGTCGCGAATTCAATATTGATACAAGATAATTTTGACAATTCTAAAGAGGACTCCTCCGAAATAAGTTCGCGATCGCGTGTTTGGGTCCATGATGGACCGTAGACGTGCGTTTGAAATAACTCCACAAAGCCTTGCTGAGGGGTGATCAGAACTGTACTGAAGTGAGGCAGTTCTTTCTATGCTTTAATTATCCATCAATCAAAACTCAGTTTCTATCAAGAGCCTCGACTTGAGCATTAAAGTTGAAAATATCCACTGCTAGCACTGTCCGTGTTTTAGCTCTCTCTAAACAATGTCATGTCGAGCAACTAACCAGTCCGACACTGAAAAACTGGACAATATTCGCGCAAATTAGAGAAAGCGCGCTAGGCTCAGAAATGCCCTTGTGGAAGGGAGCGCTTGGAAGCTGTCAAACAAAACAAGCAAAAATGATACAAGTATCAAAAACGTCTACATCGATTTGTGCCCATGCCTCGCGGGTCAGCAAAATTGCCGACTTCTGTTTGGTGTATGCCACATGGTCAATTTTCTTCCACACATTCATTTTAGCATGCGAAATGTCCTTGAAGTATCGATATGCATTTATTACCAGCCTGAAGATACGGAACAAGTCCACCAGATATTACACAAATCAGAACTTAGCACGTCTGGTGTTTTGCTTTAACTTCCTTCGATACATAAGCTCTCATAGTTAAAATTTAGACAATCTCTATTGCTGGCATTTACCGTAGGGAACTTTAAATCGATTCAGCGCTAAAGCAGTCAACCATCAGCACACGCCTTAATGTGTTATGAGACCTCCACGCCATCAATTCTCTCAAAGCTGGTCATGTCAGATCTTTTTCCGATCAAAATGGGCGATAGTTTCTTGCCGTCTGCGCTCACCACAAGAATGACAATAATGCTTAAAGATGAAAACAATGTTGAGCGAGAGATAACGTGACGAACAGCAGCAACATCAACTGTTTAGTCGCGTGCTCTGCATAATATACGGCGATTCAACGCTATCTGGTCAATATCTATAAAATGCCGCTGCTCCTGCAGAAACCGCATGTAGCTAATCTTCCGTTCGGCGACAACTTCGTCGGTCAGAAATGTCAATTTGATGGGACGCCTTAGTGAGAGGCCGTAGGAGCCATAAATTTAAAACCCGATGCTGTGGCACAACACATTTTTATTGCAAGATGTCGTCTTCGTGGAGACGCCCGAATCGCAGCACCCATGTCCGGGATCCACGTCTTGGACACTTTTTTTCCTTCTTTAGACGCGTGTTGATGATTTCATCGTTATTCATACCTTTCATGGTGCTAAATACGAGTTTACGACCACCAGCAGAAAGCCGTCACTGGTGTGGTATGGCCGCCATAATGTTTGTTGTGTTCGTTACGATTTTCTGACTGCGATGCGCTCCGCAGGAAGACCAAGCGATTAAAAATGGTCAAGGGCTCTGAGTGGCACACGCCCGCCGTATTTTTCATTCCACACAATACTTCTTGACCCCACATCGGAATGGCGTTACCGTTCCGCCATATCTCTCAGTGGTAGCAGGGTGCCACTAATCAATGACATAAACTCAATGTTGAAAGTTCTGTTGTAGCAATCGTCCAGAAGTATTCGTCCTCGGTTTTTGTAAGGTCATTATAGCGTGGTAGTGCATATTGCATTGGGTTTATTGCAAAAGGTGATTCAAATAGAAAATATTCGCGAAATGTGATACAATTGTGGTTTAAACACTAAAAATACGAGACCTGGTAAAATTACCGAGTGTAGCCATTCATGGTTCACCGTTACATTGAAGGCGTGTGCCATGGAGATGGTCTCTTACCAGGAAAATCTCGGGACACTAGAGTTCCCTGAGGACGATTTGCTTTCAGCTGACCTTAGTATCTCCCCAGCAGCGTATGTTCGACAAGCAGGCCGTCCAAGGAAACGACGCATCAGATCCCATGGTGAAGTTGGCGGAAAGGCGAGGAAGCCATTAGCAACTTAGGTCAAATTGTCGATCAGCATATATTTATCTCGAACATACGCTGCCGGGGAGATACTAAGGTCAGCTGTAAGCAAATTGTCCTCAGGGAACTCTAGTGTCTTGAAATTTTCTTGTACGAGGCCATCTCCATTGCACACGCCTTCAATGTAACGGTGAACCAAGAATGGCTACACTCGGTAATTTTACCAGGTCTCGTATATTTAGTGTTTAAAACATAGACTCTGCTGATGACCTTCCCCGTATTTTCACAAACAATGGTGTTTAAAACACTATTGTATCACATCTTGCGAATACTTTCTATTTGTATCACCTTTTGCAATAAACCCAATTGCATTTTCGAGCTCTATTCGGGACCGAGCTCTAATAGGGAAAATTAGCTAGTTCTTCTTGCTTGTTCTAGAATTAAAATTTAGGCTGACTGCGCAGTTGAATTAGATAATAGAACTATAAATTTAGGCTCGGGATTGTTTTGATTCTATAACAATGTGGCAGACTCTTATCAGCAGGCCTTTCAGACATAACCCCGAAGCAAAGCCTTCTTTCTCGAAAGTAGCATTGTATTTACGACTTTTTAAGTGAACGCTAGCACGTCATACCAGTTTCTAGAATCAAAACTTGGTCCGACTTCTGTTTACAAAGTTAGCTCCGTATTTGTTGTACAAACGCTGATTTATTGAATTCTAGAACTTAAGAAAGAATTCCTCCTATAATAGTGATTAGGTATATGATATTATGTTCGAGACTGTTTTAATTCTAAAGGAAAGAGCAGACTTTTAGTAGCAGACCTTTCGAGTTAAATCCCTGAGGCTGAGCTCTTCTTCCTCAGTCGATAGAACTAAAAGGCCCATTACTCCACTCTGAGTTTTTATATTCTGCAGGTCGATGACCTCGGCACTGACTCACTATGCGCAAACCTCACTTGTTGCCGTCGCTCTCCAGTCAAGCTTCGGTTTGATCTAATGGACAAACTGCTGCTGATCATCTGCCACGAAGTTGGAATCGAAGTAGATCTTTTGTGGGCGCTGAAAGCCATTAAAGTCCGAGCCTGCAGCGCATGTGTAGGCACCCATACTAGGAAATAGAATCCACTGACCAACGTCCATCAAAGGTAGTTCCACCTCTTTCATGATGCAATCCATGCCATCGCAGGTTGGACCCCAGAGACTTGCCTTGTGCATTGGAAGTGACGCAGCATCCGATAAAATCACAGGATGAATAGTCGGATGGTCATATACCATGCAGTTAAACGACGCGTACAATCCGTCATTCACAAAATACATATAATTAGGTACTTTCCCTGCAGCAGCTGCCGCGCTGGCCAGTACAGGCGGCTGACCGGGGATTTCAAAATTGGGAGCCACCTTGCGACCGATGACATTCACGGCCAGTGTGTGCGTTGATGCAGCGAAGAATCGACCAGGTTCTGATATCACTTGTACTCCGCTTGACTTTGGAAAATGCACGGCTAACGATCTCTTCAACTCGCGAGCGCAATCTTCAAATCGAATTGGACCGTTATCTGATCCAGGAAAGCCACCGCCAATGTCTAGCAAATTAAAAAAATATCCGATCGAGTGGCCAATGTCGAAGACTTTTCGAGCACGAGCCACGGCGTCAGAGTAAGCTTTAACGTTAAAGCATCCACTGCCAACGTGAAAACTGACACCGATCACATCAAGGTTCAGAGCCTTGGCGTGGTTGAGAATATCTGGTACATCGTGTACCATAGCCCCAAACTTAGTTCCAAGGCGGCAAATGGAATTCGAATCGTCCACATACAGCCGAAGCACAAGCTTGGCGTTGGGATTAATTCTATGAATCTTCGTGAGTTCGTCTTGCGAATCAAACGTCATCAAGTCGACACCCTGCGCATGCGCGAAAGCAATCTGCGAGCCTTGTTTACATGGGTTGGCGTAGATGATATCGTCAGCAGCAACACCATTATCAAGCACGGAACTGATTTCCGTCTGACTAGCGCAATCAAAGCCTGCTCCAAGGCGGGCTAGCCCTTGAATCAGAACTGGATCTGGATTGCATTTGACTGCATAATATGGCCGCACATCGGGTAAGTACTGGTGCCAAAGCTTATAGCGATCTTCGACTGCAGCCGTGTCAACGACGTAAAAGGCATCACGCTGACTAATGGGAGTATTTCCAAGGCTTTGAATTTGAGTTTGAAGTTGCGTCAGAATAGCCGGATTAAGCTGCAGACGCTGCAGTTCGGGTGGCGGTTTGGCGTTTACAAAAGCCGTGATGAGGTCGCTAGATATGAGCGTTGCTCGGGCTGCTTGTGTGCTCATATAACGTGCAGCAGCTGATCGCTCGTGACCAAATCTGCTGGCCAGGCGTGACGCGCTCGTTAGCGCCGCGCGACTCACGCTGGTGCCTCGGAAGAGCAAAGCCATCTCGACGAGCAAGCGAGGAATTGGGCAAGTGTAGACTAATTTGGAAATGAAAGGGAGAATGGCGTAGATATTGGCAAAAACCAACACCGTCAGATTGTAGTGACAAACACGGGCTCAGCATAAGAGGTCCCTTTTAAGACTCTAGAATCTAAAGATAAGAAGAGATTGGCTGCCAACCAGCCGTTACAATAGGCATTCTAGCTTTGCACAAAAAACGAGCCAACTTTAAAAAGCATTTTTTGTTTTTGATTAGAAATTAGGTTGGTTTCAATGATGTGCGACGAGGAACGCTAAGGGAAGGACGTTTGCTCGCATTTTTTTGATCTCTTCTTTTTTCACTCTAGCTTAATGCGTCCGTTTTGTTTGACATGATTTTGTCCAATTTAGACTGAGTACAAAAATTTAGCACTTCATTTGTCATGATCTAGCTGGAACCTTAGCTCAATAGCAAAATGTAGTTATCGACGTCTCATTCATTCTCGCAACGTGTGACTTTCTTGGGCTATCATGAACGATTTTAAAGCGAAGTGAATGCTGATTCAATTTTATGCAGAGGTAGTTTCGCGAGTTTGACGTTACGCTTGAATATCTGACACGTTTTCACTGAGAGAATCGATGAAGTTGAGCCTATGCGGAGGTGCTTCATTTCCTCCGAAACTGTAACTTCTCTCATTCCCATCTTCCGAAGGCGAATAAATTTACGCCTTGAGAACGTGCATACGAAGCTACCAAAGGTCGCAGGAACTCAATACTTCGACGAATGCGATCAATATAAAATGACTTAGACAGGCTGCATTTGTTCTATTACTCAATAGCTCAGTCCATGTATATGATTACGAGGATAAGTACTCACTGGCTTCCATTGACCCGTCTTGCTCCTCTGGGTCCAGCTGTTCCATACTGTTGCTAAGTTCATCCGGGTCTTCACCACGCATCAGTTTTTCGAGTCGTTCTAGTCCTTGCAATGCATCGGCTGATCCCGGATTAAGCTGAAGCGCTTGATGAAAATATGTCAAGGCCTCCGCATATTGTTTATTTGAAGAATAGACAGATGCCAACTTTGTAAAGACCTCTTCTTGTGGGTGGCGCTCGCCAAGGGCCCGCAGTCTATAATGACACACATTGTGAATACAAACCAAGTCAGATTATGCATCAGCCATAAACAATACGAACCTATCAATAGCTTCGCGAAAGTTGCCATCTTCAACCAGCAGGTCGACCAGCGCAAAGTTGGTGCAGAGTTTACGAGGTTCCATCGATAAAGCCTTGTGTAGAGCCAGGTGTGCTTGTTCCCGATGTTCCGAACTTAGAGCGAGAACACTTCCAAAGAGTACAAAACTTTGCGCCTTTAGTGGGAATAGCTTCACAACACTCTTTGCAGTGGCCAAGGCTTCCTTGAAACGATTTACACCAAGTGCATACAAATTGCAGTAGCTGGTGATAATACCAGTATAGGCCTCCATAGACGGCGTGAGGCGGCACGCAGTCCAAAATGCCGTTAGCGCAGGTTGAGGACGATGCAGTCGCAGTAAAACTTCACCTCGTAGCAAATGCGCCGGTGCGCTTCGAGGTTGCTCTTGAATGGCACGTTTTGAGAACTGTAAGGCTACCTCGTAGTCTCCTTTCACATCGCTGTAATATGCCGCAGCAAGCCACGATTCTGCGCACGTGCTATTGATTTTAAAAAGTTCCTGCACCAAATCATTAAGATTGGTGCGTAAGTTTCCTTTGCGAAGACAGTTGGCAAAGCGGTCCATATAGGTCAAGTTTAGATCGTCAACTTGTCGTGCACGTCTGAATGTTATGTTGGCTTGATGGAGTAGCTCCTGGTTTAACTCTAGCCCTCCCTTGTGCAACAAACAATGGAGGTTTCCAGGAAAGACTTGAATTAGCGTAATGAAAGACTCTATCGCCGCTACGAGCGTGACACAAGTCAATTTTGCATTAGATCACACCGAAAAGCTTTGTAATGTAAAGTACCTTTATGTTTTCCCCGCTCAGCATCCATATGGGCTACCACCAGTGTCTGTATCCACGATAAGTCGTAATTAGAGAGACCTGTATCTTTAATCTTGCCGGATGCAATATCGGAGTAAAATCTTGCAACATTATATCGATGAATAGCGACAGGTGCTACTGTTGCACTCTGACCAGATTCTTTAGTTTCATCAGATTCCGGTGCTGCATCGTTTGCTGTTGCTAGTTTAGTAAGAGCTAGTGCTGCTTCTAATGCATACGGATTCTGTCGTAAGGCAGCCATATAACTTTCCTCCGCTTTATCTGAAAGTCCTTCGCTCATGTACAATTTCCCAAGTAAAAGGTTCATGCTCAAGCTTCGATCTTCAAACGGTGTCGATATTAACTGGCGTGATAACCATTTTGTGAGATGGCCAGGCATTTCGGGATCTAATCAATTTGTCTTACCATTTGAATGGCTTCAATGATACACTGAAGCTCCACGTAGCACTTAGCCACCTTGAGTTTTACCTCTAGCTCCACTTCCTTCGTCAACACTTTAATGTTTCTGCAGCTAAGACGATAATATCGCTGTAATATTATAGTATAAAGCAGCAGTATATACACACGGTAAGCTTTTTATCACATAAACAAATTCTTCCATCTTTAATTACAATGGCGCGCTTGTATTCACGCTTGACAAGCATTAAATCTGCAAATAATCGCAATGTCTTGGCATGAAATGCAGGCGACAGCCTTTTTGCATCGCTCGTTGCTATTTCAAAAGTTCTTTTCTTGCGAGAATCAGCGAGAATGTTGCCATTGTTGTGATGGACCTCTAACTCTGATGAAAACAATGCTATGGAAACTAGCAACTCGCCTATAATCTGGGCCGAATCCACATCCCCGTTAGCAAGAAAAATCACAAATTGTCGCTGCAAGACTTCAGCATCATAACGTGGGGGATCTTGAGCGCTAGCGGTGTTCTCGTGCCGAGCCGACTCATTTGCACGCTGCTTCTTGACAGGCCGCTCCATTAAAGCAACACATTAAGTACGCTTCATCATTTTATACGTAAATCAAACCAAAAATACAGCTAAATTTAAAGTAGAATTGTCAGAGTAATAATTCGCTTAAGATAATTCAAATTGTCTAAAGTCAATCTTGAATCTATCGAATCTACTTGCTGTGTGATATCCTCTGCCGACAGTCTATATCGAGTATTCCATCAATTTCATCTTGCCTTGAACCAAAACTCGTGATTTTGGCAAGTTGCGGAACCTGAAAATGAGGTCAACAACTTGCAAGATAAATTCTGTGTACTGAGCTCTATCGCATTTGAAAAGCTGTTTTGATAACGATAAATCATAATTGTACAAAATTCACATTGGACTTGGTGCAATTGTGAATACATAATTAGTATTTGTGTAGATGATCAAACTCTGAAAAAGAGGAGTTCGTGGTATACGCGGGCTGCTAGCAGCACGTCAGAAAACAAAGGTATTTTATCACAAGAGGACGAACACGTACACATTCTGTGTTGGTCCAAGTAGCATTCATCTTAGGATGTACTCCGGAAATAGCTGAGCAACAAGACAACAAGGTATGGTAGAGGCCTTCGGTTTAACTTCTGGTTGGAGCTCGCGAATCCAACCTCTCTGCAAGATGTGATCGCGAGCTATTAAGGCGAAAGCTTTCTCTGTGCAAAGAGCACAGTGCCTCCGTTGCACTTGGTATACTCCTAGTTAATCCCGCTATCGAGTCGTAAAGAAATACTCTATGCAAGGATGGAAAATGTATTGTCGGCCACATATCCAGGAGCAATAGGACACGCCTACCATGCATACGTCTACTTGAGAACCGATGAGATCAGAGAAGGGGTGGCCATGGAGCCAAAATTAATAATCGTTAACTTGGAGCCGCTCACCTGATTCGAGAATGCGTTGGTAAGGAACATTCAGGAGGTTCACAACGCTCGTTCAGTGAGGCCGCTATTGTAAAGCGAAGCGTCCTCGTCTTTGAAGACCGGGACGACCAAAATCTCATCCTCTGGATGGTACGCGTAGAGATGACTGTCACTTCGGCCTTAATCAAGCTAGGACGCCGCACGCAATTACAGGAACTGACGTTCAATGCCTCGGCCAAAGCGGCGCTCCCAAAGTGGAATAATTCTGAGCGACTGGTACCGCGGGTGTTCGCACCCCTAATAAAGTATATTGGGTGCGTTCGAAGTCCTTGTCTACGCATCAAGACGAAACTTGGCACACTATGTCCAGGGGTTAGGCCCTCACATCGTCACAATATTGTTTAATACCTTTCCAGATGCGATATCGGCTGTATCGTTTATGAACCGTATCCGAATGGGTGCGCCCCGTGCTAAGACCTCCGCATCCACCCTTACGCTTTCAAGAAAGCAAAAGACGTTGCATTCAGTTCGGAATAAACGTTTCGTGCAGTAGGGCAGGATGAAATGCCGATAATGTAAGCTTTGCAAGCGCATAAGAGGCCATGGTCCTCAGCTATGCTGAGAAAAATGATGTCTTGCACCTGTTGAGCGTCGCCGCGGTATCCGATCATGACTCATCAGCGGTGGTGAAAAATATCTGCGCCTTGTGTACCCCCTCTCTCGGCTGAGAGATATAAAAAGTCAGACTTGTATGCAAGAGAGAATGGCAAAACCCTCGCGGGAAAACGCCTAATAAAACAAGCAACTTTCTTATAAAAGTTTGGGCTCAGACCCCGGCGTTGTTGATTGTTAAAATTATTTAAAAAAGGCTCGGGAAGTCCTGATAGATTCAGGAACATCGCGAAATTACGTACGGCGCGAAGCTGTTAGAAACCAGTAGACAGCTTTAAGGATGCTTAATTTCGATACGATATATGTTGATCTTGCGACGAGGACAATGGTAGGAGTGTCAAAGTTAATTATCTACCTTCACAAGAGATCTGAGAACATTGATAACATATAACTTTACAGGCCTTGGAATGGTTCGAGATGCGACCTTATTCTAGGTATGACAAACTGACTCATCCCTAATCGCTTTTTTCCTCTGCCGCTGGAGCGCCACAAACCATGTGCGACTCAGAATAAAAAACGATAGACACTTACATCTTGGTGGAGCTTTGCCACTTCATAAAGCCACCTCCTCTAGGAAACAGAAGTGCTTTTGGTGCAGGCACGAGTGCGGTAGCTTTCGTGCGGGAAATGCCATTGTTCAAAACTCATAGCAGTGGTATCGCTAGGCTCTTTATCAAAGCTCGGAAGGTAGAAACGTGAGTGAGCTGAGGTCTCAGAATGCGACGCAAAAGAGGAATCGTAAGTCGTAGTCTTCAGAGTGTATCTACGCTGAGACGATAGTGAATGTCTGTATTTCGTGATCCTTAGTGTGTATCTGGCGGGATGGTACGATCAGTTGTCGTCTGTGCTAGGACCGGTGAAGAGTAGACATGCCAGAGTCGATAGAGCTGGGGTGTAGAAAGTCGAGAGTAAAAGGACCAGACCCCAAAGCTATGACTGATTCTATATCTTTGTCCCGATGTGTCGGTACTGCTGAGTCAGAGCAACCAAACGACGTGCCCACCGTGCCGAGCAGTGTAACTTTCTCTTTACATTGTAACGAAATCTTACAACGTGATGGTGAGAGACCCACCACGTGTGTTGCCTTCAGAGAAGGGTGTCCGACATAAAAACGACTTGTTAAAACAAATAGTGCGCCAGCAACAACATATATAGTTATAGAAAAATGTGACGTCATTTACACGCAAAGAACAAATCATTTTTGGTGAGAAAAAGTCAATCTCCATAGCAGGCCCCGTTAGGAAGACTTGCAAGTGACAAATCGCGCATGCTTATCATACATACATAAAAAAATATGCGACATCACGATCTTGGGATAAACACCGACCCAAGAAAAAAATGTAGCACCATTGTCTGCACTTTGTTCAGCGCCCTCGGCCTAGTTGAGTCAATGGATCTTATCATCTGTTGATAAGCGACAGCTTTGGCGGTGCGTTTTTTCAAGCGATATGCTCTTACTTATATCACATGGTTTGTCCAACGCACCAGTGACGCTTAAAGTCACCTCGTGGCAATGTTCCATCCTATTTCGTCGCTGATTTTGTCCATAATCGCGAAGGGCGCGCGGATTCAGATGCGAAGAGCCACATTAATATTTACGAGCTGTAAGCACTTAATTTGAATGTTCGATAATAGTGATAAATGTGTATTGATCGCCGGCGATCCCGCAAAGGAAAAGTCATTTTGTAGATTTGTCAGCGATCTCTGTTTTAAAGGATTCGAGGGGGTGTTTGGCTGGCCAAATACTTGCACAAGCACAGTGCAAAATATGCCGACTTTGAACCACCCCTAATCAATTACTAAATCCAAATGATTTCGAGATGCGGCGGATGAGACAGTCTTTGAGGCTTTGAAAGCCTAATGCAATCCTAAACCCCGGCAGATTTAATCCCATAGCAGTTGCCTGTGGTCTATTCTTTACAATGTACTGCGCTATACTAAAGTATATGCCAACGGCATGGACGCGTAATTGCGTATGGCTCATGGCATCTTAAGGCTGCTGAGAAGTGATAACTTTTCGTCGGAAGAGTTTTTGAGTTGTGGATGTCCTCGTGGAGGTCAGGGTCTACCTGCATGAATCCGAGACGTTTATGATTGATGATCAAGCGTTGTTACGACGGCGACGTCGTCACCATATGCATAGAGTACTTCATTTGTTCGTACTCTTTGAAAATTTCGAAGTTTTTAATACTGCTACGACCATGAATGGCTTGTAATATGTGGTCACATTTTAGTCTTAAAGATAGTATATATTTCATGTATTGGTAGGTAATTCCACAATAAACAATTGCCCACACGATATTCATGTGAGAAACTGCGCAAAGACATACCTTCTTTGCGGAGTATACCTTTGACAAAAGGTTTGAGCCTAGTCAACTTGATATGGTGGCGGATGAGCTGTATCAATACACCGACTATGAATTGCCCGTTTGTCATGATTGCGACGTTTTTAATGTATGAGGCGATGCGTAAAGTCGAGTCTGACGCAATATGCGTTATGTTGCCGAAGCTTTGGGAAGCAAGGTATTTGAGAACTTTCATGTCGATATACGCTTCTCCCTTGCACCACTATGCCTTTTCCCATTATTTGCTGACCTACAGCCCTGACCCACATCAAACTCAGCGTGTAGTGGCGCCTCACTATTGAAATCCAGGAACAGAACACAGTACAAAACACATAATACAGCTTCGAGTGGAGCGAAAAAACATGCTGCTTGGTGAGCGCTATGTTTTGGTGGCCCATATGTATAAGTGGGTAAGCACATATGTGCGCACTCTGCAACGTGTCAAGGGTTCGCACGCGGCCGCATGCAGTAACATCTTTGCCATCCTCCCAGTTCCAGCGGAGTCAAATGGAGGACTTTATCACCGGTATTTCAGATTATACGTCCGGCAAAACATGTATTGTGGTCTTTGTAGGCCCTCTGAGCGAGATGCTCCTCTCAAGACGAGCAGCAAAGTCGTAAGTGGTGAAAATACATTCAGGCCGTTTCTCGACAAAATTTTTTTGCCGACATGGCTTACCGGTAGCCCAAAATTGGACAGAGAGAGAGACCACGGCTTACGAAGAAGTTTTAGCTAATATTTTTATATTGCTCGGCACCACATTGAATGCGTCTGTTAATTATTATTCACGAAAAAATACTCGGACAGAACGCGTGATACGCGTTGACGGGGTGATCTGCGGAGCATCTGTACGGAGAGCACAATGCGAATCAAGTTGGTTTCACTCATTGATCTCGCATTAAACAACGCACTCCATGCCCTTACAGGCCTTACCTCAAATTTCATAAATGCTTTAATCAGCTTCTTGGCGCCTTTCACATCGGTACGGAGTAATCCCGACTTGAGTGGGGGGGGGGCTGTCGATCAAAATCGACGTGCTTATTTAGTCCGGCTAGCAACCATACAAAATGAGCAGCAGAGGCTTCCACGATCCCGAACTTACGAGTCAGTCAGACATAAAGAGCCTCGGTGCAGAAGGAGCAACGTCCCACCATCCCCTGTTGCTGACGTACCCTCTTCTAAAGTAGCGTTGTAGTTCCGAACTGCTAAAGATGCCTCAAGCCATGAGTGCGATGCAAAGCACAGAAAGCGAACATGATATCTAGCTCAGCATAGCCTTGCGCGCAGGCCGTGAATCTTGAGTAAAGCTTATATACCGCTATATCCAAGAGAGATCACGAGAGCCATCCAAGTGTGGATAGATCGCCATCGGTACTGCTCGATGAGCAAGCAGCGGTACAAATTCATAAGAAGCTCTTGATGGGCCAGCAGGCCCCCAGGGCATCTGGTGAAATGGAGGGTTTTCTTCATTCAGCAACCAGCGATATTATGAGGTTCCACTTCAGCAATGTTGATCTGATTCTGTCGCTGGTTACAAATTGGCACACCCTCGGTTAAAATATTTATTGGAGAAGAGGGAGGTCGCCTGTCGCAGCGTGCCTTTCACTATAGCGGATAAATTATCTGATCGCGAAGAGTGCCAAGCGTCAGATACGGGCGCTGAGGGATTATTCTCCTTTAGAAGCCTCAATTACTGTATAAGTTTCACCACTGTTTACATAAATATTTTCAGAATAATATTTAAACTCAGGCAATCGATCATGCGGTGAATAGGAGCCTTGATCGTGGTGGTAGCTCTTACAGCTTTCTCATGAAGACATGCGAGCTGTAACGGGCAGGATTTTGAGATGATGAGGTGTTTTGTAGCTAAATGCTGGGGTCGATAAAAGTGCTTGCGGAGCGACTTCCTCATGCTCTTTTTGGTGTGCGTGTGAGCAAAGGGTCCATGCGCACACGCGTGTAGGAGCTGCCTTACCAGTGTGGCAGCTTGGTAGTGGAGGTGCTGCGATTATTTTAAGTGACATGTAGATGGCGGAACTTTGAAAAGGGAACGACCTGAGCAACCAGCCGCACACCCAAAACTGAAGACAGTTTTTAATGAGAGATACTAACACGTATTTATTTACGAGTTTAAGTAGCATTACTCTTCTGTAGTTACTTTTGAGATAGTCGAGCAACCTAGTCAACTAGGTACGTTAGGGGCTTTTGATTCCGCTCCTGTCAGGAGCACACAAATTCAACCTTTGTGCGTTTGTTAACGCCGACCCTGAAAATCAGAGCTTCCTCTGTGCAAAATGCACGGCAACCTCATTGCACAACTGAACGTCGGACTTACTTTGACACTCAAAGGTACTAGGTCTGTGATAAAGCATAGTAACTATATCTAGTTACAATAACAGGGCGACGGTACAAGATACATGGTATGCCAGACTCACATACTGCATAACCAGGTTTTGATGGATACATGCATATGTTTATTTCGTTTTCGCTTTAATATGAGAAGATTGAATACTAGGTACCTGAGAGAATTGGTTTACCGACGATTCCTGAACCAATCCTTCAGCGACTGTTCGTGGACCCTATGAGCCGAAAACTTTCTTTTTTCAAATTGCCGTGCAACCCCCGCTATTCATGGCTCTCAAAGTGATTTTTTGAGAAAAATGGAGATAAAGTTTAGACATCAGTTTTAGATTAGTATTTTACCTGCTCTTTTTATTATGGTAAACATAGAGGCTTGCACATCGTAGCCATCAATATACCGATAACCTGAACGAGAGACCGTAAATTCGTGAAAAGATACATCGATGTGCTGGACTGCATTTAATGAAGCTAAGCTAGCTCAGAATCTCATCCTGGTGATGAATTCAAATTATAACCTTCTGTCTAGAGGTCACGTTGAAGCTAGCAGATAAGATACAGTGCATGTGATGACCAATCTTAACCCTGAGCCCAAACAGTAGCCATACGTAGAGATGCATTACGGTTTAACAGCATCCTCTCCCACGACCTTGTTTTAATCATCGTCCCGCACTGATGGAAAAAGAGGTACAGTACATGTAATCAAATCATAATAAGTCCAGTTGCTCAAAGAGAATACCGCCTGCTATGAAATCTTGTTCGGCGTTGCTAAATCAAGTCCACAATATGGAAAGGTGCAACCGCCATTGCGACTGCTGGCGGCCGACTGCCGTTCATAAGTGAAAAAGCTGCGAATCTCTGAACTGTGTGATCAATCAAATATTATGACTGGCAGAACAGGCATGCGGGAAGCAGAGGAGGTCCTGCCGCTGCTAGCGCTAGAGACCGGCTCATCCGTTGTCTGTGCCAGTTCTTATGACCACAGCAAACTTTTAAACAATGACCAGTTGTCGAAAGCACCCTATCAGTGCGCAGGATACGTGTCCTATGTGCTGAAGAAGGATAGCAGTGGCAGCCGAAGACAACTAACCGCCGTGTACGGCTCCATACCTTCCGTCACAACTCGAAAAGGCGGTAGCTTGCCTATTATTACGCAACCTGCAGTGACTGATTCTCTGCTTGGCGGCAGCGATCAGCAAAGCAACCAGAGCGAGACTGAGAGCGATAGTGATGGTAGTTGTACTACTAGTAGCACAAATGGATCACTGCAGTCCATTTTAAGAATGCCTTCAACCGACTTTTCGTGCCGCAGTCTGAAGAAGAGGGCGTCGGTCGATTTTGCACTGGATATTGATAGCGGTGAAGATGACGACACAAAGGAGGGTCTAAAAGGATCATGCGCTGCACGTTGCTTACCTCGCCGCCTTACAATCGAAGAAAAAACAGCTTTATATCGTGTGCGTCCTGATCTCGAACTTGTGCCTACAGTATTGCTGCTCTCAGAGCTTGAGGAATTGCGACGAAGGCGCCAGCGCAATCTTATGTTTTCAAGCTTGGGCGCGTCGCTCATTTTGCTTATGGTGATCGTCTTTTACTATCTCGTCTCTCAAATGTAACGTAAATGTCGACTACAAAGTCGCACAGGGGCCGGGCTGGCTACATAGTTAGCTAATCGATCACTGTATCCTTTTATTAAACATTAGATAAGTTCATTAAAATAACCTGTCGGCGTACTTTATCGCACCCACAAGACTCGAGAATGTACATAGTACGAACCCAAAACTATTTTTCTCACTTTTTTCCCACAAGATCCCTCGGTCAGTTTTCCAGCTGTAGTATGAGACAACCACGTAATGAGCGCGGTAAAAGATTTTGTATTGCACAAGATATGTAACCGGCAATACGGCAAACATTCCCGGCGTTCCTGTATAACTTGCGTTATTCGCTGTCTTCTCGATATCGATGGAAAGTAAGCATGTGATACAAAATGTAGTGGTTACCACTATACTAAATCTGCTTAGTCTACTATTTATCAAACCTTACCCTGTGATATACCGGTAATTTTTTTCGGAGGTTCGAATTTTCCACTTCCTTCTACGAACACAAGATCCAATTAAGATTAGCCATCAGCTGCCATCACCTTGTCCCGCTCACGCCTCGTCGCTTCTTTTCACTCATAACTTTGTCATTGCACAACAAGACTAAACGCTTTATCGATTAGCAATGACTGAAACCGCGAATTTTAAAGATCGTGAGGCTGCACTACTGTGCGAACTCTCAGCGCTGTACACGAAGTTGAACCAAGTTCGGGAACAACGTGTCAAGGTGGAACGAGAGAGCGGCACTGGCGGAGTAAACGACAACACGACGGATGACGATGGCAGCAGAAGCTCGAGGCGCCGTCATCGAGTGCTACTGGTAACCCGCACGTTACCCTTTTGGCTTGTGTCGGAGGACGCGCAGTCGCAGTGGCGCGCTGAGTTTCCAGAGCACGCGAATCTTGATGGTGCTATGGAAATTTTTCAGTCACTTCATGAAAATTATGATTGTGTTTGGATCGGGTCTGTGCATGGCGAGATCGAGCCTAGCGAACAAAACAAATTGAAAGAACAACTACTTCAAGATCGCAAGTATTACCCTGTCTTTCTGGACAAGAAGAGAGAAAGATTGTATTATGATGGGTTTTGTAAAACCATCATGTGGCCGTTATTCCATTCGTGTCCGCCTACAACAGACGATCAAATTAATCAGCATGAAACAATGGAAGGTGAACAGGAAGATGAGGGAAGCATGGAAAAAATGTGGCAAGCCTACGTAGCTTGCAATCAAGCGTTTGCAGATGCAGTACAAGAAGTGTACGAAGAGGGAGATTTGGTTTGGATTCAAGGTTACCATTTGACACTCGTGCCACAAATGGTACAGAACTTGTATCTAAATGGCAACATCTGTTTGGGCTTCTTTATGCATGTACCATTTCCGTCGGCCGAGTTGTATCGGATTTTAAATTATCGCGAAGAAATTCTGACTGGCATTTTAGGTGCTGATCTGATTGGATTTCAAACGTACGAGTATGCTCGGCACTTTCAGAGTGCATGTGTTCGTTTGCTAGGATTGGAAAGCAGCCACAAAGGAGTGGATAACAATGGACACTTTGCGAGAGTGACGATCTGCCCTGTGGGAATAGATGCTGACAAATATTTTACTCTGGTGCAATCCGATGCTGTTCAAGAACAGATGAAGCTTTTGGAAAGCCAATTTGCTGGCAAAAAAGTGATATTGGGCGTAGACCAGCTGGATCAAACAAAAGGGTTAGTGCACAAATTACTGGCCGTCGACGAGCTATTTACGCAAAGACCTGAACTTGCAAAGGAGGTGGTCTTCTTGCAAATTGTACCGGGAGCGTCCGTCGTTGAGTCAGCACTCGAGTCGCAGGTTGAGTCGCTTGTGTCTCGTATTAACAGTAGGTTGCAAGACGTTGGAACAGAAGGACCTGTTCAGTTTTTGAACAAAGAAATTGCCGTAGATGCATTGATCGCGTTGTTTACACTGGCAGATGCGCTCGTCATTACACCTATTCGTGATGGTATGAATACGGTTCCATTTGGGTATATCGTTTGCCGAGAAGCTACGAACAAACATGCGCGTGTAATTCTAAGTGAATTTGCAGGTTGTGCCCAATCATTGAGTGGAGCACGACTGGTAAACCCTTGGAATACTGAAGAGCTCTTACATGCTTTGCAAGATTCGCTTCAAGATAGCGAAGAAGTCATGCGTGCTCATCAGCATATGTACAGCTATGTGAGCTCATTCACTTCGTGGCATTGGGCAGATAACTTTTTGGAACAGCTTCACGAATGCAGCGAAGAAAATGCACTGTCCGCGTCTGGACGTGAGTTAAGTCGTCGGGACATGATATCTGCTTACTCGCGATCGTCACGACGATTGATATTTATCAACTATGAAGGTGTGCTTGCAGCCGAAGCTTCGATTCCAGAGTTGGCATACCCGCCGCAAGAACTGATATGGCAACTGTCGATGCTGACAAAAGACCCGCGCAACACTTTGGTGCTAGTCAGTGCTCGTAGCACATCAGTATGCGAACAATGGTTTGCTGGCCTATCGGGAAATTTGGTTCTTGCTGCTGAGTACGGTGTTTACGTGAAATGGGTGGGTGAAAACGAAATGTGGCACTGTATGGTACCAAATATGGATGCGAGTTGGTGGGAACATGTTGTGCCGTTGCTGGAGTACTACACAGAACGCACTCCAGGTGCGTACATTGAGCGGAAGGAGAGCTCAGTTACGTGGCATTATCGTGACTGCGATTTAGATCATGGTTTATGGCAAGCAAGCGAGCTTTTGGTTACGTTACGTGAGCTGACTCGATCGCTTCCGGTATCGGTATGCCCTGGTAATCGGTACTTGGAGGTTCGACCTCAAAAAGTGAGCAAGTCTACTCTGTTTGAGCGTATTTGGGAGTTTATGAATTGGCCATCGCTGTATCCTGGTGAGGGCCCCGTCACAACGGAATACTTTGGGGAGCCAGTAAACTCGCCATCATCGCCAATGTTAAAACCTCGTGGAATTGTTCATGATTCAATTGACGAAAATGGAATGAGAACGATGAGTCTGGATGATGACAAAGTGGATAGAGATTTTGGTCACACCGATCGCAAGGATTCTGGTATGAGTACAGATGCTTCTATCATAAGCCAAGTTGATGATATGGACGGCAAACATCCTGTTGATTTTGTATTAGTCATCGCCTCGGGTGATGATCGGACTGACGAAGATCTATTTGCATTCCTGGTGCCACCTCCGATTGATCTGGAGGCGTATTGTCGACAGCTTGAAAAAGACGAGGTTGAATATTCGGCTAGCAGTCAATCGTATAAGAGTGACTTGATCCCTTCGGAACCCAGTGCCAAGAAGTCATCATCATCGCTAGTTCACAATCGAGATTTGCTCCACGACGAAAGTGATATCGAAAGCGAAGTTGGAACTTTGAATGCAAAGAATACGAGCGATGCCATGTCCTTTAACGCCTCACGACGACTACTTGGTCGAGACGGTAAGTCCGCTGCTGGACCTTCTGGAGAGCGGGGAAGTGCGGCATCGGTGGCATGGCTTCCGTCACAGTCAAATGATGCAGATTTTCTTACGTTGGGAGAGAATATGACCAAGCTTACGCCGCTTGCAAAGCCATCTATTTCGGAAGGTGCAGCAAACATGTTTCCTGCTACAATGCTCAACCGACAGTCGAATGCTGTTCGCGATGAAATTACGGAGAAGAGTAAATTTACCCCTCGTCGTGACTTTCCGCCGTCTGCAGCTTTATTTAAAGCTATGAAGGTCAAATATGGTGACAACTTTGGCCTTCACAGACTTCCTGATACACCGGCAGCCTGCTGGGCTCTCGTGTGTCCACCAAATGCACGCGCAAAGCTTGAAGATGGAGTGGGGCTGAGAAAACCGTCTTTCACATTGAGTCCCGAGCATGACAAAATGGAAAGCTTGGTGGACAAGACATTACACGATGAATCAGTTAGTAATTTGTTTCCAGGTTATAAAGGCAGTGATTTAGCGAAAACAAATGTTTTGAGCGGTGGTGCGAAGCGCAGTGAAGTGATTGAAGGTGAGTTACCGATGATCATTGCTACCAAAAAAGCGGAAGAGGAAGAGGTTGTTCAAACAATGTCGATTTCTACAGATGATAGCGATCGATACCGTTTTCCTGTCAACACTTTTGTTTGCACGCTTGGCCGCAAGCTTTCGCAAGCACCTTACTACATCAAGAATTCAGGAGATCTATTTCAATTATTGCAAGAAATGGGCATGAGCAGTCATTTGCGCAAGCGGCGGTTGCTATCCGTGGGCAGCGCCGGAGACGCTTAAAGCGGATATTGTGCGGTACTAGGCTTCATGCTAGACCTTTCATGCGTAGTAAGCCGATAGCATTTCCTATGCCGGTGTGTTGTGTGTACACCTTGGCTGAGCTCCACAACAGACGACACAAAAGAGAGGCGGATTTGAAAGACAGCAGTATGAGCGATTTGGAAGTAAAATGAAGGCATAGAAATTCTATGCGTGGAACAGAAAGATTAATTAATAAAATGCTTACCGTTTTGATCGCAAAGCAAGAATAACCACTCGGATGTATAGCGACGGACATCGGTGTCCAAGCAGGTTAAAAAACTTTTCAAGTGGTTGAAATAAAATGTTTTTGCTTGCTCATGAGCATCAAAATAGGCTTTTGACGGCTGAAACGATGGCAAAATTGTCATTTTAAAGCAACCAAGGATCTCATGTTCACCTGTTTTCGCCAAATTGTGGCATACAATCAGCGTCGGCAGCATCTCGGAGAGTGGTCTACATGTACTAGTAGCCTTAAATGAAATAAAAATATTCAGCAAGAAAGAACTCGAACCTGGTTTTTTCGACCCGCACATTTAGCAACATGGTCTGAAGATGTTTTACCACTGGTGAAAGAAGTGAGCATTTGCCAAATCCATCCGTTTCTTTGTGCCTTTGCTGAATTAATGCTGCTAAAAGACTTCCTGGTAGAAGCATGAACACCTCAGTAACCTTATTCTTTAGATCGACCAAGTGGTCATCTAAACGGTATACACGAGGGTGTTCAAAGCACAGTATATCCAAAAGCAATTCCCCAAGGCTACATAGATCCATCATGGATCAGCACATCTATACGTAGGAAATATGTTTCTCACCGAAAGATATAATGGAAAATGTCCGGTGATACTTCCTCTTGCTTCGCTGTCCATTGCATTTCATTTGCTAGCACGCTTATCACCTTAATCAAATCCATCAGCAAAAGTACGCGAGCTCCAGTGACGTTATCAGACATTTTGCCGTGCTTGAAGCCGTACGAAAGAGTCTGAAATTTTCAGAATATGTTTAGACATTTGTGCCTTAGTGTGCACTTACGTGTAATGTGTTACCGAGAAAATCAGCTGCCAAGCTTCTAGTGAGCAGCTCACATGTTGTGGCACTTCCCGTGCCTCGCAAGACACTAAGAGAAATTTCCAGACTAATCGGTGCAAAGAGAATGTTCCCTTCGTCCTTGCAAGACCTAATAATCGGGCTATAAAATGCCTAGCGATAAGATGTTCTGATACAAAGTCCGGTCGCATGTATACCGAATTCACCATGCACATAAGAGCCTCTTCGCGCACGGAAGAGACCCACGACTCGCTTTCAGCAATAACCAAAAATCTTTCTAGCGCCTGAATAGTACATAATAGTATTCAGAGCTGAGCATGCATGCAGGGCATTGCTCTCCATACCTCAATTGACAAAAGCTGATATATGCCTCTTCGATCTCGCATAAATACTCTGCAAGCGGCCAGAAGGCGAAAGATTGCTGTGCATTACCACTTATTAAGGAAAGAATAAATTGAAGAGAAGAAACTAGGCCAACATACCGTCATCCTGCTGCGTTTTAATGCTACTTACGTCTGCAAGCACGGCAAAAATCTTACTTGAAGCCTCTTCGCGTGCTGGCACCGAGTCCAGATTGACTGCAAAAAATACAAAATTCATCAATCAACTGATGCTTTATCCATAAGTCACAACGATCAATCAGGTTGCACCTGATCCACTCTCGACAGCGCTGATAAAATCTTCAGCCCACGCCATAGCGCAATAGTTGTTGAAGTGGATTGTAACCGGTCTGCTTGGATTGGCTATCATTATGACCAATTAGATACTACCACTTGGAGCTCAAAGTAAAAACATATTGAATCACACACTAACAAAATTGAAGAACATGAAGCTAACAGCATTCTTGGCGGCGGCGGTGATGGCGACTATGCAAGTTGGAGCAAAAGAAGATCTTCCGCCGGATGCACAGCTTCGCATTGGTGTCAAGCACAGACCTGATTCGTGCACAGTTAAAAGTCAGCCGGGAGACACGTTATCTATGCATTACACCGGCACGCTTCGCAAGGATGGCTCCAAGTTTGACTCGAGCTTGGATCGCAACGTGCCATTTGAGTTCAAGCTTGGAGCCGGTCACGTCATTAAGGTCGGTTGTTATATCTTGAGTCGTACATTTGCTTTAGGAAATGGAAGTTTCGGGTGATGATTAGTGCTGACGTCATTGTGGTCGTTTTGATGTCTTTTTATGTGAGCAGGGTTGGGATCGTGGGTGCGTAATACTGTGAAATGTTGCATTGTTGACAATTACTGACTTGTCGTTCTTGTTATTGTCTTCTGCCAATTTAGACTTGTGGACATGTGCATCGGGTTCGTGGAAATTTTTGTACTATATACATACACTTGTCGTTCTAACCATACACTTTGAATTTGCTAACATGTAATGTAGTGAAAAGCGCCGTCTGACAATTCCATCAGACCTGGGTTATGGTGATCATGGCTCACCCCCAAAGATTCCTGGAAAGGCAACGCTAGTCTTTGACGTCGAGTTGCTCGACATCAAGCACGAAGATGATGAGCTCTAGATGACATCAATATAGCACCAAAAATCATTCACTTTACTACAATAATTATATGTGGTATACGAATCTTCTGCTCCAATCTTAATTCCAAAAACGAAAAAAGAGTACACGCAAAGGATAGGTTTTCAGTCTTTGCTCAAATCAATATGCGTTGTATGAATCTCTTTCATTATCAGAAAAACAAAATCACTACTCGAATGGCGTGAGGTTCACAGCTCAAGTGTTCGAAGAGCATATTATCAGGGGCAAGCACTGCGATCTTGTAGGTTTTTGACAGTCTATGAAAAGGAATACCGAGGCATTTGATCGGTTTTTGAATGCAAATCAAGTTCCGCTTTGTCCGTACTTTTCCATTAGCTGCAGCTTCAGCTTCGTCCAGGTGGTAGCGGCCTGGGTCCGTAGGAGTCATCCGTCGTTGACGGTGGCGTTATGGACGCAGTCGACGCCGACAGCTTCTGCAGTAGGTGCTCTAACAGAGGTTTTTCATAGCTCGAACACGCCTCTAGGCGCGCGTTTATCGCTTCGGATCCTTGCGACACAACGCCCTCAAGGCCCAGCAGAGACATCAGCTTATTAAGCCCGTTGCTCTTCTCTTCCTGCATGTCCTAGGTCAAAAAGGGGGGTATTGCTCTATCCTCACAGAGGATCAGTTGTAACGACTCAAGCGTAGATTGACTACAACTGCTACTAAGTGCAGCGGAGCTGCCGTAGTTCTTTCGCTTAGAGGAAGCTAATCTTAGGTCGGTGACCTTCGCTCTATACTTTGAAGCAGTACGAGTGTAGCGGATCGCAATCCACTTACTCCAAGAGTAATTACAACCTTAAATCCAGGGCAAATAAGCTCTTCGTTCAAAATGTAAACTGTGTTTCTTTTATTTACGGCTAAGTCGCCTATATCCAAACCTGTAGGTTTTCCTGATTGAATAGTAAACCCTAATTAAAACGAATAATTACTGACAGTCCAACCACGAAGTGGCTTCTTGTTAAGATGTAGCCACACCATTCTGTAGTCACACCATCTTGTGTGACCAACCCCTTTATACCAGGGTACGTGTAATTCCGTTACAGAAAGCCTCATTTGGCTCGACTTTGAAGTGTTCGTAAGCAGTTTAGATCGGATTATCGTTTTTCACGCCCAGCACTTCACACGGCCCACAAGGTTGAATCGCGAACAATGCTGGCTGCAAAGGCTTCGCAGTTGTCTTGCAGCGACTGCTGGTTTCGACTCGACAAACCATCGTGAAAGAGGCTACCACGGTACAAGACATGTTCAGCTTCAAAACCATCGTGCTAAACAAAAGAATAGGAGGTTCGGCCTGCTTCCGAGATTCCATAATCTCATGATGCGTGAGACTGACGGCCGCGGTTCGCTGCTCACCGGAGAGGCGACTGCAGTTTACTGACTGCAGCAGCTTTTTCGATGACTGCTCGCATCCGCTTGAGTGTCATTCACTCATGTGAAGACATATGAGGAAGCATCTCATTTGTCAAAACCTCAATTTGGAGTACTGATGGATCGAGTGGCTCCCCAACTCGTTCCTTGTCGCTCGGACAAGGACAAGAGTATGGCTTGGACTGGAATGCGCGACGTGCTCAACAGCCGTGTCGTCAATCCAAAATCAAAGTGCTACTAGGTGTAAGGGGGCGCTGTTTACAACACTCCCTCAAACACAACACACACTTGTGCGACGAGGAAGCAATCCTCGACTTGGACGAAGAAAGACAGTCCCGACTTGGGCAGAAGAAGAACGACTTGATGTTATTGAGACGAATTTGTAATGATTCAAAATTAGTTATAGCTCCAAGCTACATGCAATACACCTCAAGGCCTCCTAGAGGTTTTACTAAAAGAATCTCGGGTTCTTGCTTTTCGAATCAAGGGTAAACTGAGGTTGAACCTCAGCCTTAGGTTATACAAGATCTTTGATGCACGAAGCTTGAACTTCGAAAAGCTTGATTTTCAACTATCACGGAAAGTACGCGACAGAACTTCGAAAGACAGAGACACATCGGTCTCGTCACCAGTAAATATTCCAAAATATAAATTAGCATCATAAATTACTGATGTCATGTATGCCCATACTGAGATATCCTTTTGTATCAATTCCCACAGTGCATACATAAGGAACATAGATGTACCCGATGTATGCATTGTTGGAATTATAGATGTACCTTCATGTAATAGGTAAGTGTAGCGTATCAAATAAAGGCATCCAAGTGTTAACCGAATCATCTCTATTAAATGTGGCAAGCTTTGAGAAGCATGCACTGAGATATCCAAGAAAAACTAAATGGTTGAAAGCAGCTCACCCCTTTATCGCAGTCTGTGCACACAAGCACTCTGAAGGATATCCGCCACAATGCAATTTGCGCGTTTTGTATGACCATCAGTTTTGAGAATGATCAGCGGTTGACATGTCGAAATAGGCACTAATCACCTTAACACTGTTTGCCAGAACTTTGCTGTCAAGCACGGATTTGCCTGCAGGCCCTGTGCAGTGGGGAGCCGTAGCTTTGCGCTTGAGGAAGCGTAAGTTAGGTCACCGACCTCTCGTTCTATACTCAGAACAAGTACGAGTTTAGCGGATCGCAATCCACTTACATCGAGAGTAATTATTGCCTTAACCGAAGGCTAATTAACTCTTCGGTTTAACTTGACGCTAT